GAAGAACATGATCGAATGATGTAGCGGGCCTTCGGCCCGCTTAAATCCGTCATCTTTGAGTTTGCCCCAAAGACTTGAGAAAGGGATGTAACGGTGAAGCACCGCGACTACAACCCACCCTTCTGCTTAGAAAACGTCTTTTGGGGGTGGGGGAAAGTTTCCTTTCTATTTTGCGGTTTTTAGGTCTTTTTCTACATCCCATTGTTCACTATGGCAATTTTTAGCTTATTATCGTCTAAAAAGACCCTCTAGCGCGTAAACGGTTAGAGATAGCGCAAAATGGACGAAATTTTCACCCATAGGACTCTACTTTGACGAGTTACCCCTTAGGAGACCATCCAATATTTTCGAGAATTAATAAATTTATTTTTGGGCCACTTTTGTGAGAGAAACTCACTCTAGCGCCCAAACGGTGAGAGATAGAGCAAAACGGACGAAATTTTCGCCCAAAGGGCTCTACTTTTACAAGTTACCCCTTAGGAGATCGTTAAAAAAATATTTTTCCCAACTTTTTTGGCCTTCCCTGTTTTCTTCGCTACCCCCTTTCAGCCCCTTAGGGGTGGCTGACAGGATTTGCCGTAGGCGTTTTGTTTTGTGGGAGTGAACCTTGAGATCCCCTGAAAATTTGAAGTCTCTAGCACATCTCCTTCTTGTGGAACAGACAGACAGACACACAGACACACAGACACACAGACACACAGACAGACACACACGAGGTCGTTTGCATAAGCCCGCTGGATAGCTTTTTCAAAGCAGAAGGGCGGGCTAAAAACAGTTTTTAAGGGGTAACTCATCGAAGAAGAGCCCATTGGGCGAAAATTTCGTCCGTTTGGCTTTATCTTGAACCATTTAGGCGCCACAGGGAGTTTTTGACGAAAACCAGTGAAACATGTACAACCCTTCATGTTTATTCGAAGCGACGAGAAGTTGTTGACGGGCCGGAGGCCCGTATCATTGGGCACATTTTGGCGCTACCCGACTCGGGTGTCAGCGCCGCAGGCCTAGGTAGATGTATGCCAGGCGCGTCGCAGCGCAACAATGTTTCGTGAGATATCGCGAAGCCTGTTACGCGAGACGTGGTCTGGCGTTCATCTACCTAGTATGATGTGCTGTTGTTGTCGATTGGGCTTTTTATTACTTAGCTATGCATGGTAATATTTTGTTTTTTTCAGTGAGGCAGAGGTGGACTGACCGCACCGTGGGCACGGTGTCACTTTCCTAGTCGACAGCGCTGTTTATCAACAAGCTGCTGCAACTGCGTGGTGCTCAAGCATGTCGTGAGCGGCGGTACAGCGGTCGCCTAGGCCGCACCCTGAGTTGGAGGTGTTTTTGGGTACCGTGGAGAGGTACTGCTGTGATTTGACGCCTGATATGATTTATTTTTAAAGTTGGCAGTTAATAAATTAAATGTTAAATTTGAAATGTTGTTTTATTCAAATATTTTTAAAACATGTGTAAAGATGTGTAATGGAGAGATGTGCAATGAAGGAGTGCGCTTTGCTTGCTACCTCAGGTGTGGCAGACAAAGTGACAGTTTACGGACTGTGCTGTGGCAGCAGTTACTTACAACACGAACAGCGATGAATTTATTTGTGCATGGGTTTAGGTCAATTGGTGCTGGTTTTCAGGTACGGTGGTTGTTGTCCGTTTTTGATGCGTTTGGTGTCTTCTCTGCTGGTACTTTTCTTGCTTGTTAATAGTTTGTTCTGTTTGTTGTTAGAATTTTTGTTTGAATGTTTGTTTTGTAAAAATAGTGGAGTAAAAAGGGGCGTGGTCTAATGCACAGTGCCTAGCGCACAGTGGTGATTGTTGGCGGGCTGGGGGAAGTTGGGACGAACAGCATAACGCACCGCTCCCCCGCGCGCCAAATGTGCTGGTATAGAATGGATCGTCTAACAAGCAGGCCCGCCCTTCCACCAAACGAAAGTCGCCAGCTCCACTTCGCTCAGCCGGCAACTCCGCACGGTAAAAAGAACATCTTGGAATTCAAGTAGATTCCTTGAAAACTGTCTTAAAATCCAAGTAGATCGCTTGAAATCCAAGATGTCTTTCTTACCGTGCGTTCGGCAGGGGCCGGGCCTGCTTGGCCTGCTGGCAGCATTGGTCGGGCCTGCGGCCCGACCATTTCTGTCACGCGATTTGCTAAAGAACATGATCGAATGATGTAGCCGGCCTTCGGCCCGCTTAAACCTGTCGTCTTTGGGTTTGCCCCGTATACACGAGAAAGGGATGTAACCACCGCGACTACCGGGTGCTCGGAAGTATACGCGGCAGCTCGATGGGTTGCCTACGAACTGGTGTACAGGCGCAGATGGCGAGGGGGAGCGGTGGAGGTAGCGGGGGGCAGCCAGCTGCTTCCCAGCACCTCTTCCGCTCCCCCGTCGCCCTCTGCGCCTGCACACCAGTGCGTAGGCAACCCATCCAGCTGCCGCGTATTCTCCCGGACACCCGGTAAAACAAGGGACCAGTAACATACCACTTTTCTGTTACGTTATCAAATACGAAGTCGAAACATCACTTTAAAAATTCTCTTGTTACGGTACCATAACCAGAAACAGAACAGCTTTTTAATTGGTTTGTTACAATTTTGTAACAAAATAAAACTGAACAGGACATGAACGTTTTGGGTAACGAACATTCCAGAAATGGAAAGTGTAACGTTATAAAAAGTAACAAAACGAAATGGTAAAAGTTATTTTGTTACAAGCTGTAACGTTACATCCTGTAACCGTTTCAAGAAAGGGGGAACGTAACGTTATGGGTATGGAACAAAGATGCGTTCAGAGAAAGTAACTTATTCTAATTTGTACCAAAATAGGCAAGGAAAAAAAAAAAAAACATCACACCAAAAGCGAGCAAAACCAAACGAGACTAAGACATGTTTCCTTGCCCAGCGTCACCTGGCCACGAACGCGCTACAGAGTGCAGACAGCACCGCGGCCTTCCTGTCAGGCACGGCCAGGAACTATACCGAGTGCTTATACCGTGCTTTGATCTTTGTGTTGTGATTTGAGAAGGGACTTTGACTTTGGCAGCAGTGGCGCGATGGCTGGCACTAGAGATGAGCGAACATGTTTCGCAGTCGAACGAACTCGAACGAACAGCGAACTGTTCGTGTTCGTTCGTCCTTGAACACAGGGTATTCGAATCCGAACTGTTCGTGGACTGACCGAACAATTTTTCGTCGTCGAACAAAACTGTCCTGGTCGATTTTCCTCTTATTTTCCATAAACGTGAAGTAATTTGAAGACGCGAGAAGCGCGCAGGAGGGAAACACTAGAGGAATAAAGGCCTGCTCTCTAATTGGTCCCGCGCTGGTGCTCCTACCCATTCCCACCCGAGGGGTCGCCGACTCATGTAATACCGGGTACACGGACCTTATAGTATGAGTTTTATGTTTGCTTGGGTTAGGTATACCTAAGGAGCCTCTGAGGCTTTTAGGTGCGCCCGGAGTCATCGGGTTTTAGGCCCCCGTTAGGGGTGCCTATTGCTTTCGCCCGAAAGTTTTTTTCTTTTTATTCTTGACGATGGCCCCTTATGGCAGAACCAATCGTGCCCAAGCGATTTGGACAAAATTTTACTCAAAAATACTTCGAGAAATTAGAAATTTTTTGAGGTAGGTTTCATGTTAAATTGTCTGATGAAATTTGAGAAATTTGAG